GTAATGTATTTTTAATCGACTTTAAAAAGGAGTAGGTACACAAATTTCGAATGTATGTCCTTTTTTTGTATCTAACCTCAATAAAATTTTCTAGGTGAACCAATTTTGATGATTATTTTTTTTATTTCAAACTGGTGCTTCTCGTGTAGTCCTATATTCGATCAAGATCTGACCGGTAGTTTTAGAGTTATCTTAAAAATGCGTATTTAATTAACTTCGAATACTTTGATGATGTTTTCATTTTATTTATATTGAAGTTGGTTGCACAAATTTGTTAAAATTACCACTTTTTACGGACAAAGATTGCTTATGGAACAATTAATTTTTGTACACATTTTTTTCATTACAGAAAGAGCGACTACAATTGACACCACAAGATGGCAGACCAGCTTCAGGGGCTACTACATGGCTCAGCAAAGGAACTCCTTCAAGCTTTGTTATGACACCTTCAACATCAAATGCTGCTAAATTATTACCGAACGCACTTTGAAAATTGCCGTGGGGCACGGCTAGTATCAGGATGGCCGAATGTTACCAGTGATTTTTACATAATTTATATTATGAATCGTTATTAATAATATTCGTATAATTATTGTTTTGCTTTTATATCATTTTTTCAATTATCAAATTTAAAATAGATTATTAGTAATTGTATTGACACAATAATTATCAAAGATTATTTGCTCAGTTTATTTATAATTTAGAATTTGAGGTATTTACAAAGGGTATTACTTATATAAGTATTTTCATTTTCTAAAAATTTGTAATTAATTCACTTATCAGTAATATTTATAACAGCGTTTTACTTATTTTCATATTATAAAAGTATTTGTCTTGTATAATTCTTCCACATTTAAACTGTTCCTAGGTTCAGTTTTGATAAGTAGTAGGGATATGCTACTACCATTGTGTGATATTATTTAAATGATTGCAATAATTATTGACTGGCTATTCGAGATGTCAACTAGTAAAGTAAACAACAAGTAATCAAGCGTATTATTACCCTTCCTGTGACGCCTATAATACTGATCTTTTTAGGTTAACCAGAAATCTTTTCATTTTAAAGCCTTACGTTATTTTAATGGTAATATAGCATGACTTTTAATTTGGTGCTTTACACACAGTTTTCACCAAATGGTAAGTGATCTCACATAAAATATTGTAGTTTGACAGGAAATGGTTGAAAATAATAAATACAGAAGAATGGGTTCCTAAAATAAAATGTTCTACTATATACAGCAAGTCTTACAATAATAGAAAAACTACAATATATCCAACCATAACACTAAGTGATAAAGTTACTCATTGAAATTCATTGTATTATTAGAATAAAGTATGTAGCAAAATCTTTTTAAGGAGATCTCACAATATTTTTACAATAAATTTGTTTTATTTGAACGAAAACATAATTCTAACAACTTTTGTTTGTACTTTTATTCCCTAAAACATATAGAAATGTTCAAAATTAAGCTCTAACTACATTTCATGACATGTTAGTAATAACATGTTACTACAGCTATATACAAAATCATTTTTATTTTCAGTACAAATTTTAGCAATAGGTATCTGAATATTTTTTGAAATGTCCTAAAAATTGACATCGTAATTTTTTAATACCATTTTAGTACACGTTTCCTATCTCAGTTTGGTTTTAATTAAAAGTTCAGCCTATATATACGTCTCACTGCTGGGGCACAGGCCTTCCCTCATTTCTGAGAGACAGAGGCAAGGAAGTGTCCACCACGCAGCCCCAATGCGTGTTGGCGAACTTCACATGTCTACGAAATTCTTTTTTCTATTATTACTCAGACATGCAGGTTTCCTCACGATGTTTTCCTACACCGCCGAACTCATAGTGAATCAGCACTTAAAATTGCAATTAACCTTTTAATTGGTGCCGGCGGGAAGCAAACCAAGATTGCTCGCGTACTGTGAATTTTACAGCGAGCGGTAAACATCTGAGCTAACACGGCTCTTGGTTTAAGTTAATAACATTTAATTTATTAACATATCGTTTTTTTAAGAACAGCTTTTCTTACAGAGTTTTGAAGTTCATGTACGAACTAAATGGTAGGACGCCACTTGCGTCTGGTAGATCGTATGTGTTTGTATCACCCTCTTACCTTGTACCAGTTTAAATACAGGCCATGAGGCATTCTATTCCATCTCAGCCCCTAGAAGTGACAACAACGTAGTCTTCTTTGGTTGTAATTAACTGCAAGTGTCCTTGAGCTGCATTCGCCTCTTACCATCATTAAGGTAGACTGTGATTTCGTTTGTTACTTCAGATTTATAAAACAACGTTAATTAATGGGTGCGTTTGGCAGAAAAAAGCGCTAGTAAGCGCTTACAAGCGCTGAAATAGTTTTCGGCCAGGACACGATTGCTACCTCACCGGCACGGAAACTTGGCCAAGCGGTTATCTCGCGATAGCAAAAGCTTTAAGTGTTTCTGATGAATGTTTGTTATGCAAGTATGTCAAAAAATGTTTACCCTCAAGTTCAAGAGGGTAATTCATTATGTTTAAGTGCACCATGACGAATTCTTTAATTTTTAGTTGAATCGGGTCATTTGAGCGACTAAGTTCACATTTTAAATTTGTGTGTTGTGAAAAGTTTACTGTAAGGTTATTCAATTATTGTGATCTTGTGTCTTAATTAAATAACTAAAGGTGCTTTAAAGCCAATAAAAATGCCATTAACACCAGCACAAGTTGCACAAGCAGTAGCATTAATTGACCAAGGGCTGACACAGCGTGAAGTTGCTATTGTGCTTAACGTACCACGGTCCTCAATGCAGTATTCACTGAAACGATACCAGGAGACAGGCCGCTACACCCGCAGGCCAGGCAGTGGGGGCGTAAGGTGCACATCGGCCCGGGACGATCGTTTTATTGTTATGGAGATTTTGAGAAACCGCTACCTGACCGCTGTTGAGATACGCCAGCGGCTCCAAATCGCAAGAGGCGTTAATGTTAGTGAGCGTACGGTGAGAAGACGAATGGAGGAAGTGAATTTAAAAGCTCGTAGACCAGCACGAGGTCCAGAACTTCTCAGACAGCACCGAGTAGCCCGACTTCAGTTCGCAAGAGAACATGTCAATTGGACCCACGAGCAATGGGCTAGAGTGTTGTTCACAGATGAGTGTCGAATAGCTTTACGTGCTCCAGACGGTCGAGAACGAGTGTGGAGAAAAAGAGGAGAGAGGTTTCTACCCATTACCACCACCCAAACTGTGAGTTTCCATGGAGGCTCAATAATGGTATGGGGAGGTGTAAGTTCCGACGCACGTACAGAGTTGGTCATCGTCGATAATCGGCTTACAGCTACTCGATACATCGAGGAAGTTCTTCAGGAGCACGTAATGCCTTATTCGGGATTCATTGGACACGACAATTCCTCCTCATGCACGATAATGCACGCCCGCACGTCGCACATTGTGTAGAGGAATATCTGGAAGAGGTTGGAATACAAAAATTACAGTGGCCAGCTCGTAGCCCGGACTTAAATCCAATTGAGCATGTATGGGGTATGCTCAAAAGAAAGATAAAGTCCAGCTCCAAACCGCCACAAACTCTAAATGAGCTCCGAAATGCAGCGCTGGCCGCTTGGGACAGCATACCGCAAGTTGCTGTCAGAAACATCATTCAAAGCATGCCAGATCGAATGCAAGCGGTTATCAGGGCTAGAGGAGGAAACACCCGATATTAAAACTGATAGACAATAAAGAAACATACTTAATTTTTAACTTTGTAGTGTTTTTAAAGTGACAATGGAAAGATGTTAATTTTAGTGAAAACATGTTATCTTGAAAAGAAAAATTTCGGTGAAGTAAACATTAAATTTCTATGTTCTAAAACCATTAGAGACACTTATTGAATGCATCTACCCTTAATTTACTGTTAAAAAAACGTTTCAGTGCAAATAATCAGCAAATTCACGAGTGGCCAAGTTTCCGTGCCGGTGAGAATCTATTGGGCCTGGCCTTCATTATTCTAAAGATATCTAATTCGTTAAAGTCCCATAAGTAGTTTAGAAGATCTAAGACAACAGATGAAAATACATACATAGCCTTCCAAGATCGTAACCATCCTTTTGGCTTCGCCGTAAGGGGGGTAAAAATATTCACGTCATCTGCGACAAATCAGAAGTCACAAAAATACTACAATAGGTATCGATAATTTAAGTCGAGACAGGCAGTGCATGGTGCAGCATTATTGGTCACCCAATGCACATTTCACGCACACGTGTGTTTTGATTTTGGTCTCACCTTAACTTCACTTCAACGCCAATCTACATACTGTATACTATATCTATGCTTATGCCCCCTTAAGGTAACATTTAAATAAAATGCTATTTATATGCGCAGATCATGTTATATATTAACGTCTAAGTTTTGTTCTTAGTTTTGCTCTATGAGGCATCCAAAATAATTTAACTCGTGATTGTGGATCTACGATAATATAAAAGTAAAAGATTTTTTAATTGTATTTAAAGATAATTGTTAGTTTAGACATTAGAAGTAATACAAATCAAGTGCATCTAATATTTTATTTTTTCATAGACAAAGCCATTACACAAAATCTTAATGTTTATAACACAACATAAAAATAATACATTTTTAACCAAACTGGCTACACTTCATTTAACGTTACAAGACTGCTACTCAAGAATCTTCCCTCCCCATAGACTTACTTAATTTATTTAGTTCTACTAGTAATTTATATTCTTAATTCCCAAAATCAAACACTACCAATAGACCTCCTAGTCAAAACTTAATACCATTAATAAACAATTTTAAACTTTTTTTTTAAACATACGTGTTTTAGTTTATAAATACGTATAATAAAAATATTTTAAAAATAATATTATTTCCTAATAAGAAGTATATAATTTAAAATTCAAATTTATTAGTCATCGAAAAATAATATCCAAAGTCATTTATTTAGAGTATGGTCGGAAGTGTTTTCTATGCGTTAAATTATAGAGTTTCTATTTAACTTACAAAGTTTTTTTTTCTTTAAAATTGTTGAGGCGTTTCCTTAATAATTGCTTACTATGACTGATAAACGATTTATAATATGTGGATGTTCGAAATTCAACTCCAAATTTCTCGCAGTGCTCAAGAAAGGTAGGATAAAGATATTTCAATTCCGCATGATCCAACGTTGGAAAATAATGATGAAGTGCATGATATCCAAACCGTGTAAGTGATTTAAAATGGTTGTCATCGTACTCAACTCTCTCAACTAAAGTGTCCAATTGATGAAGACCCCAGTCATAATACATGTCTCTGTAAAAATACAATATTTGATTAAAAAAAAAATACAATTCACGAGCAAAATTGTCATGAAGAAAAATGTATGTAATTATTATCATTGTAGATTGTATGTGTGAGAAAGCCTTTGATTCCATCGAAATTTGGGCATTGCTACAGTGCTTCAGCGGTACCTGCCAAGTCGACTGTCAGTATAACGAAGTATTGAAGTATTTGTACAAGTACGAAACTAGAGTAAGAAACCCATTCACCTGCAGATAACTGTTTTACGCTCATTGCACTGGACTAGAAAAGATACGGTATCGGTAATCGGTATTCGATTTGCCGACAATATAGTTATTATAACAAAATAGCTGGAGGACTTATGCACAATTCTCAATGACCTCAATAGTATCTCACAACGGATAGGTCTTAAAATGAACATGGACGAAACAAAGGTCATGTGTAACGTCTATATCACACCTATGCTGCTTTTGTTGGGAGTACGGCATTCGAAGCTGTTGACGAGTATTTTTATTTCGGACAAATTATCCAAGTCAATCCATGGAGTCAGCTCAGCTGGCTGGACAGCTTTCGGGAGATCGATAAATCTTCTCGTAACGTATACTTCAAATCTTAAAACAATAGTTACAACCTTACAACCCGTAGAGACCTACAACCATTGCGTGTCGTCAGTGATGATCTATGGATCTGAGACGTGGCTCCCCACTGCTGGTCGTATGTGGGAAGTTTATGGCGCTTAGCAAATAGGAAACTCCAGAACGCTCAGCGAGTTATGCTTGGTCTGCGTGATAAACTTCGTAATATATAAGTAATTAAATATCTTGTAGTATTACATTTTTGAAAACTATAACATAAAATGAGATTCGAATTCATTTTTTACATTAAAACTAAAGATTGTTAAATACAATATTATGCCTAGCTAAGATGTTTTGCTTTTTTATGTCTTTGGCTCCCTGTCGCTATTTTACCTCTGACGTACCTAAATAAGATGGTTTTAACGTCATTTATAGGAAACTATGACATCGTTCTGAGGTTTACTGTTATTGTATCTTGCAACACCCAAGGTTCGAAACTGCCATAAGGCATATTGCATATTACTTTTATTCATACCATTGCAAACAAATCGTCAAGTATTAACAATACAACAGTCATTTTTAATTTACTAGCGTGAGTTATATAAACCGTTTTTGGTCATCATCATTACAGCCCTTCACAAGTCCACTGCTGAACATAGGCCTCCCCCAAGTAATGCCACAAAGCACGATCCTAAGCCACCTGCGTCCATCGACTTCCTGCATGTCTTACCAGGTCGTCACTCCATCTAGTGGGGGGTCGCCCTACACTACGTGTTTACGCTCGATTGTAGCTACAAATTGCAGAGCTCACCCACCTCCGCCAATCGGCAAGTTTTGTGTGTATCTAGCCGTATAGTTTACTTATCCATAGGTCGTTGGACCCTCCCCTTTGTTACTCGTCTAGTTGGACTACTGATGGGCCCTAGTTCAATAGTCTTTTGTCAGGGTAACTCAGGGCCGTAACACTACGCCTACCGGTACGAGGCTGCCACTCGAGAACCTTTCTTCCCCATCGGATATCGGTTCTTCGAGCTATATGGCCGGCCCATTGCCACTTCAGCTTACTAATCCGTTGGGCTATGTCGGTCACTCTGGTTTTACTGCGGATATCCTCATTTCTGAGTCTATCATGCAGAGAAACTCCGAGCATATCCCTCTCCATAGCTAGGTGAGCGACCTTGAACGTCCTCATACGGCCAGCGGTGAAGGACCACGTCTCAGATCCGTAAGTTATCACTGGCAACACGCACTGGTTATACACTTTAGTTTTCAGAGATTGAGGTAAACCTGACGAGAAGATGTGTCGTAATTTCCCGAACGCTGCCCAGCCGAGTTGAATCCGTCGATTGACCGCTCGGTCGAAGTTGGACTTACCTAGTCAGACTATTTGTCCCAAGTAAACGTACTCGTCAACAACTTCGAGCATAGTGCTCCCAACAACTACCGGCATAGGTGTGACATGGACATTAAACATGATCTTTGTTTTGTCCATGTTCATCTTAAGACCTATCCGTTGGGAGACACCATTGAGGTCATTGAGCATAGTGCTAAGGTCCTCCAGCGATTCTGCCATAAGGACTATATCGTCGGCAAATCGAAGGTGAGTGATGTATACGCCATTGATGTTAATACCGTATCCTTTCCAGTCCAGTAGATTGAAAACGTCTTCCAACGCAGCGGTGAAGAGTTTCGGGGATATAACATCACCCTGTCTTACACCTCTATGCAGTTGGATAGGTTTCGAACTCTGGTTCCGTACTCGGATAGCCATCGTAGCCCTGCTGTACAAACACTTCAGCACTTCGATATACCGACAGTCAACTTGGCACCGCTGAAGGGACTGTAGTACCGCCCAAATTTCGACGGAATCAAATGCTTTCTCATAGTCCACATATGCCAGGCAAAGTGGCAGATTGTACTCCTCGGTCTTCTGTACAATCTGCCGCAGGGTATGTATGTGGTCTATGGTACTGATGCCTTTTCGGAAACTGGCTTGTTCGGGAGGCTGGAAGTCGTCAAGTCTACGTGCGAGACAATTTGTAATGACTCTCGAAAACAGCATGTAGACGTGGCTCAGTATGGAAATCGGTCTGTAGTTCTTTAAGAGAGCGTTTGTCGCCTTTTTTAAAGAACAAGACCACCGCGCTTCTGCTCCACCTCTCCGGAGTAGTGCCTCCATGGCAATTTTTGGTAAATACGTGTAATTTTTCTAAAATGATAGTTATATTCATATTCATAAATACAAATTGTACATGAAGTATGAAAATGCTATGTAGGGTTATTTTGCAATATTCGGCCAAATTTGCAGAAATGTTCAGAACAAGTAATATAGGCGAATGGTGAAGAAAAATTAATTAAAAACAATCTCAAACTCGAACAAAAAAACCTCACATTCAATTTGGGATAATTTCAAATAAAAGTAGCGGCCTTACTAATTCGTATTTATAAAAATGTTATATTGGGATATAATAATTTATTTATTGGAACTTAAATATGAAATTTGGATACTTTTTGAAAAATAACCCTGTAGGAACCTTATATTGATTTTCACTCCATTACCATTTTTTCATTTTTAATTTCATTTTCATTATCAATTACCTTGGTATGTCTCCATCAAAGAAGTTTTGATGTGAGTGGTGCCCGGCTGTCAGACCAAACATCATGAAGATGTAGCTGGCAATAAGAAGAATGACAATCCATAAGAGTATTGTCCACGGCAATGACAAACCACCGAGCATCCACATCCACGCCGGCAAAAAAAATTGTATGAGATTTGCCCATTTTAAATTCTTACTATCCTTATCCTTTATAGCAGTAAACAATCTAGAATAAAAAATATCACATTAATTTTTTAGAAGCGCAGCATCATGAACAGGAATATATACAATAGTTGATTTTGAAGTTGGTGATTTTTCATTCAATTATAAATAAATAATCTAAAGGGGATTGCTCACTCTTCATAGACACTTCGGCCATGGGTGCCCACATATAAAAGCATATAGATATGATAATATGCAATTAAAACAATGAAATGGTTAAGGAATTGCTTTAAAAAAGTCGGGGTTTTGAAGATATATAGGTTTTTATTTTCACAAATGCAGTTTTTTTAACAACTATTTTTATCGATTTTATCGCGTTTTATTTCATTGATTTTTAATTCCAGATGTTTCGGGTGCTTTCCAACACCCATGGTTACGGCGGACTGAGGTGACTGACGTCCCAATGTCAGTGTTAACCCTGAGTACCTTCAGATTTTTAATTTTTATTTATGGTCCGATCTACAGAATGAACTTACTGTGTCTTGAAGTCTTGCAATGGTATGCTTGGGTTTAATTTTAATTTCATTAATTACAGGGTCTTAAGCAGGTGGTAGTACCAAGCTTCCTTCTCTATTGATTTTTTTTTTATTTCAATAGTCTCAGGTATCGGCCCTTGATAGGAATTGTGATGTACCTTTTAGAGGATTTGTGGTCTATCAAACCTTTTTTATACGTCTATCTGGTTGGGGCCGTCCAGGATATGATCACAAACTGCAAACTTCCCTGAACCTTGATGCTTCATGTCAGCTCGCTTCAAGATGTAGCCAATCTTGTCTGTGACACCCCTGACAAATGCTAGTACTGCACATGCTTGACTGTGGCCGGCTTCACTCGGTCACTGTGACGTAAGCGCGGGCCTGAAGCTTGTTGACGTGCAGAACCTGCTTGACGTGCTAAAGCCCGACGGCTCGATGTTTGCTGCCACAGATCCCTTGTGCTCTCTGTAACAAAGATTTGCTCACGGTAACTAACTGTGAAGGATAATGGCGAAATTCATTGTTTTCTATACACAGTGTGACCTATGGTGTTGTTAGAATTTTGGATGACTAACGCATCTAGAAAAGCTAAGGAATTATTTGCCTCTAATTTACACATCAATACATCATTCAGGAACTGAGCAGGAAGCAAAATATTAGTCTGATGCCGTGCCCAACCCAAATACCATATTACTGTCATAACATGGGCACAGAATCCAACAGTTTGACGGCCGACAACACTTTTTAATTGCACTTCTACCAGAACCATTGCCACTAATTAAAAAATATATAAAATACACTTTACGACTAATGGTGATGACTTGCAATTCTAGCCCTAAGTAAAGATCAGCTAGGGCTTAAGTTTATTCCTTCCATAATGCTGCTCCTCTGGTTATCACAGAGTTCTATCCGGTAGCAACTATTAAATCTTATATGCTTACCATAATAGTAGCGAGCTTGTTTTAATTGGTATGTGACACAAGCAATTAATATTAAGTCGCTGTAAGTTAAAACAGGAAATTTCCTAACATTTTAAAGTCTACGTTTGTATTTCTAAAGTCTGCCTGCCCTAGCTCTATTTATATTGCTTTCCCTAGCATGCTCAGAAAAATCATTATTTGTCTCCATATTTTGATGAACTATTTCAAGTATTTGAGCCGCATCATCCCTGTCCCTTATTTTTGTGTGGAATTTATTAATTATAGCAGCAGCCACAGCAGTCTATCATCAAATGTGTAGAAGCCCTGTTATAGTAATTTTGATGAAATATTTTAAATTCAGTTTTAAAAATGCCATTCACCACCTCTACTACTCATATCGACACATAGTCACGGCTCTGGATTTATTAGCATATCTTGTCATTAACTGAGATTCACCATCTGCTGGAGACATTGCTGAGGCTCTTAGACATCCACATCTATCCTCTATTACAAATAAAAATGCAGATGCGTTGTCACCCGTGGGGACTAAGATCATTTTCTTGTTTCCAGTAAAAAGGGTCTCCGATTCTCTACACTCACCGTATAAAACACAGCAGCATTAAGCTACTATTTTATGCTGGTATTCTGTGAGAGCGTGGTCCTTCCCCGGTCGAGCCGACTCATTCATGCTACAACTATACTTCTAATATAACTGCAGCATTTCTCTACCACGTATAACACACGTACATAGTAATTGTAATCACAAAAGAGACATACTCTCAATGCTGATGGAACATTGAGTCCATTGAAATTGTTACAACCAGGTAAAAAACATTGATTTGGTGTTAGTGGCGCTTTTAAATAATTAGTTAGCAGTACACTGTGTGATGTATGATCTAAGCTTTGTTGTTCTGGGTGCAATACATTACTCACTTCAGATTGCAACGAGGATGGACTAGATGAATCAGATGGTTCCCGTTCTGCAGTTGAATGTGATGCTGTTCTATCAGTTCATTGCCAGCAATTATGATACACATGGCATGACAACGGCAACTGAAATAATTTAAAATACAAAAAATGAAGTCAAAGTGAAAAAAAAAATAGATTTGTTTATTTTAAACTCAAATATACATAAAATATTTATCAAATTAAATGTTACTGCATAAGGATGGACTTAATGCCCTATATTATTTAATAATTAAGACCTGACAGACTACCAGCAGTCCAAAAACAATGAAAAATCAACGGTCTCCTTTCTTGGTAGTTGATAAAAATGGTCAATCTCATAAATAAGCTAGTATGTTTGTCAGATATAGCTTGTGCAGATGTGAAAAAATAAAGTAAGTTCTTGAGTTGATATACAATCGGTGTAAAAACATGTATAATTATCAGATATGAGCATCACACTTAATAAATTGAAAAATGTTATACACTTACTTCCAAAATTATATCCAATTGTTGAGAGATCAACAATTGCGTTTTCCAACAAAACAAAATAACACACGCAATTGAATTCTTGTGACATAACAGTGACGGGGGCCTACCTGTCAGATTCGATGTTGCCACTTAACTGTCATGACAAAATCTATGAAACGATATCGATTTTATTCGATTAATAATATCATAAAAAGAATAACCTTTGACGCGTTTTAAGTTCTGCACGCTTTTTAATATATAATTTCCTTTATTTATTGAAATTCTATTTCAAACGTATTTTTAAGAACAGTTAACTTGTTCTGTATTGTTTTGTTATGCTTTAGAGAATTCATGGTAAATCAGCTAGAAATTAACTTCTTGAATTATCATAACATATTTCCATTTTAAATGTTATGTTAAGAACAGATAAGAATAACAGTTAAATTGTGCAGTGGCGTTTTGTTATACTCTAAAGAATTCTTGGTAAATCAGGTAGTAATTCGATTGTTTAATTATCATAACTATAAATGTGAAGGTTGTCATCAATTTCAACCAAGCCTATAACAACGGTTGTTTTTGTTTTTAACGGTTGACTACCGCTTTTGATGACTTGAAATGGATAAAAACCCATTTTGTGCAATAACGTTTAAATAATAAAGTTTAAATACTAAAGTTTTTTCTCTTTGGTAATGAATAAAGCACAGAAACCCATATAATGTATAATAGTCCTTTTTTTAGATACAAGTAGCACATTTTAAAGAACCGCAAAAACAACTTTGTTATTAACACAAACACTATGAAAAACAAAATAATTTGTTGCTGACGATAACGATAGTGGTATTTTTGACTCGATTTAAAATATATGCCTGTTACTACAGAACTCTTCATGGGTCTGCGAGTCCGACTCGCACTGAACCAGTTTTTTTCAACTTTTAGTTTTATTTTAATAAATAGTTTTTTTCGTTTAAGCGGAGCTCTTTTACTTTAGATTTATTACCTCTTTATCTATAATAATCAATCTGAGTAAGTAAAGTGTGCAAATACGATTATCAAATTGTAAAAATAATAATTGGATTTGAACATCTTAGGTAGGTATTTAGTTTTATTTATTTAGAAAATATTAATCTCACGATTAATTATTGTATTAATACAATTTTATCACACAACTAATGCCCTCATTAGAAATGTAATGGTGAAAGAATTTCAAAATCGGTCTAGTAATTTTTGAGATCAGCCAAAAAAACGTATTCATTGAAAGTAGTGCCCTCTATAATAAAATTCATCCTATATTAGATATCTAAAATTATACATAACAATATAGTGGTGAATGAATTCTCAAAGTTGGTCAAGTATTTTACTTTGATAGTAGCGCCCTCTATAATAAAATGCATCCTACGTTTTTAAGCACCATAACAAAAAACGATTCAACATAGCCTAACCCGCACACACAGTAAAAACATAACCGTCCTTTTTCGTCTGTAGTCGGATAAACAACTGGTTGATAACGGTTGCGTATCGGCTGTTTTGGATACATATCCATTGTCAACGGTCCTTTTAAATAAATATCGTAACATCATAATAATTATCGAAAAATTATATTAGCATTGTAATAATGACACCATAAGTAATCGATCAAAAAGGGGAATCGATTTTTAATGAGATTTGTCATTAGCAACACTTTTTATTTTATTCGCAAACTAATGAATTAATGATTTACCTAATTTTATTCTTATATTTTCAGTACTCTTAATTTATGCAACAATATTCCCATCTTTTTAGGATAAATGAATACCGCGATTAATAACCATAAATAAAGATACATTTTTTTAACAAATGCACATTGTTGGGCGTTCCATGGCCGAAAATGGGCATCCCCCTTTATCAATAAAGGAAAACTATATCTAAAGCCCAATTAAATACATCAACAATTATTATTTAATTTTGTGCATGCGGCTTTGGGTTGGGTTTGGGTTGGGTATAAAATTCATGCATAAATTTTATACCCAACTGCTGATCGTGAGGTTTTATGTTTGATCCCGGGTTGAGCTAAAATAGGATATTGGGTTTTTCTGTATATAAATTCTCACTAGTAGTCCAGAGTCCGGAAGTTGTTTCACCCCCGTGCTTTGAAAAGCACGCAAAGCCGTTGGCCTCTACCTGATCCCCCTCCGTCGTCCCATCGGAATATGAAAGTATAGAAATAGATAGGTCACCTATGTTTGCGCACAAGCTCATGCACTATAATCCTGTCCTGCGCAGATAGCTGGTCTCAGTTGCCGCCTTGACCGATATTCGGTCTGGAAGATATTATTATAGTTTAGTTTTTTTACTACCCTACATAAGTGTGTATTATAATTTTAAATTAATTTTGTGGATTACGTACACCGATTTTTGTAAAACAAAAGTATTTTAATGGCGTATAAGGTAAGAAGGTTATCTTACAGCGAACTCATATTTAAATAACACCGATGAGTATTATGTTAACTGATGATAAAATGTATTTTTCGTGCACTGCACCTTAAATAATTTTTTTACTACATCCGAACTGTTGGAGTCAAATTTATTGAAATGTTCAAGATAATAGACTAGTCCTTTGTTCATTAAAAGTACTAGCATTCCTTACTAGTATAGTACTGCTTAAAGGTATGTGAGTCACATTTTACCTTTAGCTATTCATTACTGGAATCACTTCATCGGTATGAGTTTTTTTTTAAAACAAAGTAAGACATATATGTTAAACATTGCGAGGAAGCAAGCCGAAGTAAAGACTAAGCTTTGAATTAAATTGTCCCCAAGCTTCATATCATATCATAGGGCAATACAGCATTGGAGCGATAACTGTTAACTAAACTCCCGTCACCAAGCGTGAAGATATATTATAGCTTTATTGAAAGAGTAAATGTAATATTATGGCTTACATAAGTACAGATGACAGAGTCGCTTATTAAAATGCTTAAAGGTATGTAAGTCACATTTACCTTTAGCTACTCATTACTGGAATCATTTCATCGGTATGAGTTTTTTTAAAAACAAAGTAAGACATACATGTTAAACATTGCGAGGAAGCAAGCCGAAGTAAAGACTAAGCTTTGAATTAAATTGTCCCCAAGCTTCATTCCAACATCAACAAAAATTGTTCACATTGTTAGGTAATTACTTTAATGACATGGCATGTGGAGTTAAATGGGTAGATATCTTTTATTGTGGAAAGTATTTGCAAACTTTTTGATAGTATCACAAAAAGCTTTAGAAAAGTTAAAAATCGTAGTTTTTAATCAGCCTTTCTAATATTGTCGTGAACTACTTCTAACACAAGCACTTTGAAGTTACTTGGAAAAGTAAAAGGTAATGTTAGCAAATAGCGATGTTAATAGCATTACTAACTTATCAAGTTTATTTTAAAAAAATAACGATTTTGCTCACCAGCCCGTTGGTGTGTAGGGGCAAATATTTTTTCATTCCAGATTTTAGAAGCCAATAAAATAAATAAAGAAAAATAAACTTACTCCATTACAAGAAGTCCAATAGGCGATGCTGCAAATATAAATGGGTAATAAAAAATAGCCATTTGAGCCCAAATTGGTTTTTCCCTAGATGGTAAATATTGTAGAAACGGCTCAAGCATGCTTATCTCTAAATCATTTATTGTATTTGTATGCAAATGATGGGACAATGCATGTGATATTCTCCAATCTCTGTAAAAGGATAGAAATAATATTCATCTATGTTATCCATGTTACTTTAATTTAAAGTATGAACTAAACAAATCGAGTCAAAGTATAATACTAATTCCATTGATTTTATGGCGTTTAATTAAACTTCTCTGTAATCCCCAATGTTTCGAGTGGTATATCGTGGTTTTGCGTACGGGAGAACTGATATATAATAAATATACATAAACGGATATATAAGTATGACAGTAAACAGTATTGGAGATCCTGTAACCTTTATCTTTTAACCCTTCAATCCCCATAAAATACCCATGCAGTCGCATGCACCTGGCAAATCCCGAGCAGTCGCATGCGACCGCACCCACCCGTAGCACTTTAAACCATTAAAACTTATATTTGGAGACTACTTTTCTATAAAGAAGTTTAGCATTATAAAATCTATACATAATTTTCTATCCCGTGCTCTAAACAAAAGTCAGGTTTAAGCAATGAATGATAAGATGGATGAAGTATGCGACATGATGCATAATAGAGGAATAAATGTGTTATGTGTAAATGAGATTAATTGAAGGAAAAGGATGCCATTGCACACGGCATGTATGCCGTTTATTGGTCTGGTGTAAACGAGATAGAGCGGGCATGCCAGGGAGTTGGTATCATCGTTTCAGAAAGAATGGGTCAATGTACGAATGAGTGTGAATGTGTAAGCCCGAAGCTGTTATGTATATAGTTGAAAATAGGCTTAAAGAAGTTTGTTTTAGGGGGTCTACGTTTCAGATGTGTCTAATCACACTTATATCCGAGAGCAGTTTTGGGAGCTTAGCGTTAATTAAATGTAAGAAAAATTAAAATATTGTGATCTTAGAAGATTTTAATGGAAGGGGTGGGGTAAAGAGGTCTGGCTATGAATAAATTTTGGGTACGTTTGGATGATGAAGATATAAATAAATGAGAATAGTGAAAGGCTCCTTGCCGAATGTGTGGAAAAGAGACTTTTTGTGACGAAATTTTTTTTGTCAAAGGAAAATTAACTTGTATAAATGTGGAAGAGGTGATGATAGAAACATGATAGATTGTGGATGCGAGAATGTGGAGTGCAGTCGTAAGTAAGGGGTTTACCGGGGGTCCAACAAGGGGAGGAGGGGTCTAAGTAGGGACGGATCATTACTTGGTCTTAAGCAGAATTGATGGTGTATTCAGACATTGGTGGCACTTGACATACAGAAGAGAATGTAGTGATACAAGTCAGCAGATTGGGATGAGATGCGGTATTTTTTGCATTCTTTCCTTGGCAGCAGGTCTGCTTCTCGTCTGAAGATACATCAAGCTGCACAGATGCCATTGCTGATGTGATACGTCAAGCGATGGAGTTTTTCATTGATTATACGCTGTAACGCAGTAGTAGGCACAGACGTACTACTGCGTTACATCGTATAAAAACGGAGATGTTACAAGACGAAGGTATGAAAGAGAAGTACAAATTTAGATAGAGAGAAAATATAAGTGGTTTGAATGAATTGTGCATGAATGACTGGTTCAATTTCAAAAGTATGGCTGTGGAATAATCTCACTATCATTATGAATATGCCGCCAGCTCCAATGATGGACTAAGTTAGTTTTTTAGTTCATTCTTCTATATTCTTCCCCTCTGTGGAATCGTTACCAGCAAGTTTTTTGCAGACCGATACGACTTAGGGACCTTCAAGAAAAAAGCTTACTCTTTTCTAAAAGGAATGCAACATACCTGTAATTCCCTTGGAGTTCCCATCAGGTGAGCCGCGTGCTCATTTGCTCTCTCTTATATGAAAGATAATATAGAATAAATCATAAAAAGTGTATTCTATAAAAACGGCATTCCGATTCAGCCATGAATTTGATGGTGTTTTAACCCTGTGTCTCGAAAAACTAAGGTAAAGCCATTGCTATTGCACCTGATCTCTCTCCGGTTGGTTTAACGTCTCTTCTTGAGCGTGAGGGAATAAGGAGTGTTCTCGTTCTTGCACACACATTTTTACACTATAATATAGTCCTGAGTAGATGGCTATAATTCGGTCTGGAGGACATTATAATACAGCTAAATTGTTATTAGAGGCGGCTTAAGAGAATCCATCGCCCTACCTTAGGTTCCGTAAGAGGTGACTACAGACTATTTAGATTTCGATACGATCATCTTCATTACGCCAGACCCAAAAAACCAGCCCAATTACGGTAAGCAGTATCAAAGGTGTAAGATTTCTGTTGATTTGATTTTCAATCCGCCTACAAAGAGTCGATTAAAAAAGTCCTCTCTAGAAGAAGAGAGACCCACGTCTAGCATTGGAATTTTACGGACGGAAAAGAAGACGAGTTAATACATCTACGCAGTAAAATATGATTTTCTTAAACTTACTCGTACGAGAATCCCATTATATTAAAAAGATACATTCGCCAATTGTCTCCACGATGAAAGTAGTTATGGGCTGCTGTAGAGAGCCCACTAAGAATGAAACTAACGACAATCGTTAGGATTCCACCTAAACTTAAGTTCTTAGTCCATAACCACGAGCATATTGGACTTGTAATAAGAAGTGCTAAAAACAGTGAGTCGATGATCACGTCACTCTTTCTTCGAACATTTTTTGGAATTTCCGGAAGCTTACTTTGAACTTTAGTTTTAAGAGTCTTATAAAATCCCTCTTCTTTAAAAGTAAAAGGAGAATTTCTAAGCGAATCCGCTTTCTTTACGAAATATTTTGGTAGTAAAGTTTCAGCAACACCGTGTAGATGATGTGTTTCGAATGCTTCCGTTATATCTGTACCCTGAAAATTGATACATACCTGATTTAATTTTATGACGTTAAAAATGGAAAAGTTTTTAATGCATGTAACGCTATATATTTATCAATTGTGAATCCGTTTTGATGAATATATTTTATTAAATAAGTTATGGTTCGGTGCTGGTTTCACTTAAATGATACAAAAATTTATGCTCAAGGGAGGCGAAATAGGACATGAATAGAAAATGAATTTCCTTAGTCAAATCAAAAGAGTAAAAATATATATAAAGACAAAGTAAAAGAAGAACTACAAATAATAAAACAATTTCGCATTTTGAACGCGACGCTTTAATCCTTTTATATATTATATAAAATGATACAATACTATATTTTTTAATTCCTTTTAGGTTGGTTTTTGCTTCTTACTAAAAAGGATTCACGAGCTTTAACAACAAGAAACACTATTATTTAATTTGGTCTTAAAAACAAACAATATTCAAACTATTGAGGAAGAAGCCCATGTTTATCCATAAGCTGTTGAAAGGGTGATGAAAAGCAGTGAGGCAAAACGTAAAGTTTTTTTTTCCATTTGATTACGGTGATTGGTGCAAAATAAATTCAAGAGTCTGTTTTGTTGTGCAGGTATTGAACATTCTAACGAATAAAATGCTATTATTTCATTGTAGTATCCGACAGATGATACTGTAACAGCTTATAATAAAGATGCGAAAACTATTTTCAAATGTTGCCGTCAATATGCACTAATATAATGTTTTTTTTTAAGTTTTGGAAATATCGACTTTTTGCCTATGTAGCTTAATATTTCCGTAAACATTGATAAAATATTGAAAATCTTGTAAATTAAATATCAGAAGTTTTGTAAGGCATGAAGTACAAGAGGACTGATAATGTGTTATTAAACAATGACACAAATTCATACATACTGAATCTATGTTAAATTACACAAATAATTTTGGGCATAATTATAATAGTCTAAAATTATATTCGTAAAAATTTCGTATGGCCAGCCATAACAATTTTCTTGACCGAAGGACTCCCATCTGCTCATGACTCCTTCTGATTGTAGGTACCTACTAACTCTTACCTATTTCTAGAACCAATCAACATTGAACAAGAGAATAATTATAGGTTCTTTAAGTTTTTTCAATAGGTTGCAGGTGCCATTGGGTTGAAGTGACTAATAATTATTATTATATCATATCTACCTCGGAGAGTGCTCAGAGGAATTGTTGGGTATAAAAATGATCAATTGTGAATATTTTTATTCCTCGAACAACTTCTTTGTAGAATCGGGTAGCACCAGCTATTTTTCGGATCGATACGACTGCGGCGGCGGTTAGCATTAGTTGAGCCGATTCATTGTTTGGCCCCCCCCCCATTTAAAAAAAATCTTATTTGTCACTTTACTGTTACTAGAAATGAACGGATAAAATTACCTTTGTAATAGATATCCATTGGGGTCCACCGGGATGTGAAGAAATAAAATCACTCAAATCATAAATTGAATCGTGTATCCTCCAAAGGCCGTCTGCACCATCAAGTACATGCTTCCCTTTTAACCACATATATGCTGTTCTCGGGACTTCTTCTCGATAAATTGGATATCTTAAGTGTGGAAAACTATTTTGTCTTCTGTTTGTATCGGATGCCATTTTGTCTAGTAAATTTTAAGCATAAATTTGTTAATGATATCTACTTATATCTTCATTAACCTATACTTTTTTTCATTTTTTATAGGATAGGATGACAAACAAGCACACAGTCCACCTGATGGTAAGTGGTTGCTACGGCCCATAGACATCTACATATATCCTCGATTACGAATCATAATGCAGATGCGTTGTCATCCGTAAGGACTTAAGTGGAATGCCTCGTTTCCAGTAAAAAGGGTCTACGGTTCTCTTCACTCACCATACGAAACGCAGCAGCATTAAGCTACTATTTGGCGCTAGTATTCTGTGAGTGCGTGGTCCTTCCCCGGTCGAGCCGACCCATTTGTGCAAAAACTAAACTACTAATATAACTGCAGTATGGCTCTACCACGTAATAAAACTTACTATAGTACCGTAGTTACTATGTGATAGTAGTACATATAGCCCCGTGGTTATCTTAAGAGGCAACAGAGGGAAACGAACTAAGAGATGGGCAGCAGCATCTTCCGAAGAATAACTGAAAAAAAAAACTGCGTTTCCAGCGTGCCAGCTAATGCAGATATCCCCTTATTATGCAATCCATGGGAACGCCTATTTTTAGCAATGGACTTTCGATAGGCTGTATCGGTAATACTAACTATATTTTAGTAAAATAAAAAGTAAAATTGACGTTTCACTGAGTACTTGCATCCTGTCATTTCTATGAGGTTATAGTGCAAAAAAAGGTTCTTCACGTTCTTCACGATGCCCCAATACCTCAATTCACATGTCTTCAAAGAATTGTTTGAAAATTTTTCAGATATATTGCAGGTTTATTCACGATGCATCTTTTTGATGCAAAGCGCGTTGTAAAACAGCACTAAAATTGCAATTAATAATTTCGTTGTCGGCAGCGAGGATCAATCCCAGGTTGCTCGCGTACTATTATTTAGGAGTTTTTATTAGTTTTTATTTTTAAATTATTCCCATACTATTTTTAAATGCTTTAGAGAAGTTACGTTTAATTTTAATAATTTGACGTTTGAATTGCTGTTAGCAATAAGCATATTACCCCACTCTATGCTCGGATAGAGCAGGCACTCGGGCCCTATAGAAGGTTCGGCTTTCGGTGCGACAACCTATGCGTCATAAAACTTGAACGATTTGGTCCTATATAAGGTCTGCCAATACCAATTACCAAACTCAAGTCTTCAAGCACACTGTCAAGCACACACAACTCATCACAGATTTATCGTTGTCGGAATAACCTTAAAGGAACGGAAATGGTACAATGAAGCAACATTCATGTATACTATTTCATCAACATCATCGTTACAGCACTTTAAAAGTCCACTGCTGAACATAAGTTTCCCTCGAGGGTTAATATGTTTATTATACATGGATATAATTTAATAACTATCGTTTTCTCATCGATAATTGCTCATAATAAGGCGGTTATTCCTCTATTGTTCTTGAAAAATTTAGACCTTTATTAAGGAAATATGAGATGATGATTTCGTAATTTTTTCATAGGCATCTTATAGTCAATCGGAGCTAGAGTTTTTCCAGATGTCTAGCTAGGTCGTTTGGGTACAGAGTGATAATAATAGATTTGTTTAATATCTTTTTTTAAATCTTTTCCGTCCAAATTTTATCTGAATATAGTTGTTTGAATCGACCACGAAATTTCTATACCCAAAGTGACGTTCTGTAATGTTTAAGAAGTTATTCAACAGGAAGAATTCAGTATATTAGAGTTGACAAACACAACAGTGTCCCTCACAATTACAACTACAAAATACTTGGACCAACCATATTCTTACTCTATTAATCAGTTTCCCGAAAGAGCAGACATTAAGAGCGGGTATAATTATTCTTTGAAAAATACTGAAATTTGACTGAAAGAGATAAATTGCCTCGAAAACAATCTAATAAGTGAAAGTCGATTAACTTTTTTAAAACCACATGCCTCCGCTAAGTAAACTATTGTTTTGAGTCTATTGTACGACACTGGATTACATATAAATACAACGAAAAAAAAAAACAGAATACAGTCAAACGACAACTACAAATTCTTCACGTTTGCAAACATAACAAGTCTAAAACTTTAAAATGTTTAGGGATTAATATCGACGAGTATCAAAATTGGGCTCCATTTATTAAAATTATACCAAACAGGATAAGGAATAGTATCTTCATTACGAGTGCGGAAAGCCTGTCATTGCAAAGAGTTCCGACAAACGTCTACCCGAGCCGAGGCGCAGCCGAAGGTGAGGGTTGACAGTCGAAACAATTTGCAATGACGGTATCGCACGTATACTGAACAACTATTTTGAATACAGTTGCGAAAAAATGAAGCAATATAATAAAATAATAAAAACACAATTAACTCAACTAACATAGTTTTGGGTATTCATTTATATCCACGTTGTTCCTTATTTTCAGCATGCTTTTTATCATCGAAAACCTCGACCATAACGTAGAAGGTTTTAATTTTGCTGAGAGTTCGGAAAAGTATGCCAACATAGCATTTTCTGAAAAACTATTTGCTTTTTTTGTCTTCTCTCCAAGCAATAAATTCGTCGTATGTAGATATGTAGCGAATTTTTGACTTTTCCGGTAAAATGTTCTCCGAAGCATTTTGTGCAGTTATACTGAGTTCCAATGGTGTTAATTCAAATAAAATATCGTCGAAATTACTCATTTTGTGCAACAAACAACTAAACTCGCAAATAAATGGTGCCAACCATAAAAGAATATAAGCAGAGATTTTTTTGTTTTCTTCACCCATTCTGGGTAGGCAAAGGGAACTATAAAATTCCAATTATACATGCCCGTACAGCCAAGTAGAATTTTTTATTATATGAAATAAAAATGAAATTTAATAAGATGAAATGAAATGAAACCTAACCTAACTCATTGTATCAAATCATTAAAACTGATATTGAAACAAATTAGTAGCTTCTTTTTTAGAAATATTTGCATCAATCATAAAAACTTCTATTAATTGTTTCTAGTAAAATCTTAGTGGTTGGTTTTTTCTTTGTAATACACATTATTTTTACAGTTGGGAAAGAGAACGCACGAGTTCCGAAAAGGTAAAGAAAAAGCTCGAGTATGTAATAGCCCATATCCCGAACGCTATACGTCCCTGCAATACGCCATTTTTTGAGCAACTGTATTAAAATCTTATTTTAAGGTTTCGTACCTTTTCGTCAGGTAAAGGAAAAAACGAAAATTAAGGGTTTTCCTGCAAGTGGGATCACTTCGTTGTCTGTCTGTCCGTTAAGACTCTTTTTCCCAGGAACATCTGCAGGTATCGGGTTAAAATTAATATCAAAATACGTAAGTCTACATATCTACTATACTTGAAACATATTCGGAAAAAACTTAAAACATAAATTAAAAAAAAATCGAGACTCGATTCAAATAATTGACAAAAAATCTACATAACCCTCGGTGCGTGAGTCAGACCGCACGAAATAAATTGCAAACTTTTTTCAGGATCTGTAACTAAATACTTACGTCAAGTTAAATTTTGTCAACTTGTCTTTACTAATAGGTTCCATTCAGGGAGTAGGGCAGGCGAAACATAATTCATAGAGGCTAAAAGAGACCAATGTGTGGTGCTCAAAGTGTGTACTACATTTTCTGGCTTACAGACATCCCATAACAATTATGAAAAAGCATAGGTACTTACTACTATATGCTATTTAATCTTGGGAAAATTATTCATATACCAATGTATAGCATAGTTACTCTGCACCTAACCACAGAATAAAAACCCAACCAACTTGACGGTAAAAACTTAATTCTATGCTCGAGTCGTCATTTTCATCTACTTATGTTTTTTGTTTTAAGTGTGTATTTTATGTTCAACAAAAACTTCTTAAAATATGGGAAGGCCCTGGCTCCTGGCCCTCAGAGTATTTTCGGAGCTAGGATGGTTTTGATATCTAAATATATTGTTGTGATTGCTGCAAATAAAGATTTTTCCATTTTCATTTTCAGAGACTTAGAGTAGACTGCGAACGTGTCTTTTCCCCAGGCGAACCGAGAGATAAATTTTGAGCTGCAGGTGACTTTACCACGTATAAATTATATTGTTAACTGAATTATATATTTATTTATGAAATTCAAAATATACAAAATGATAGTAAACGTTAAGGTTGTAATTATTAAGCAGGCTTACTTCCAAAAACGATTAGAAACAGATTTCGTTTTTGATTCCAATTAACTTTTGTTTCAAATTTGACCTTAAAACCTTACCTCTGAACCGATTTGGATTGAAAATAAACATCGAGTCGTGGTCAGTGCATACGTAATTTGTGTCAAACGTTATCAATGAGCTTTCATTTTAACAGTCGAATCGACAGACACTAAATTTTAAAATTCTTCTTTTTTTTTCCGTATTCAGCAGTTTTAGTAGCAAATGGTATTTAAATTGGAATAAATTATGATTACACCTAAATGTGCAGAGTATTCGGTGTAGTAGCGGTATATGAACATCCACTACCTCATATCGTCCGGGGGTACCTTAATAGGCGACAGTCCTAATAACAACGCAAAATAATAAAAATACTGCGGTTTGCACCCCGCTAAATGACCAACTATGGTAGACTATGGTAAGGTCTGTCATAAGATTGAGAGTTGTTTTTTTTTCGTAAATTTAGTATTACCATAATAATTGATTTTATTATGTAATGCAATAAATTTAAATACATACATTTTGCATTTTAGGATAGATTAAAGTACACACACACACATATATATACATATATATATATATATATATATATATATATATATATATATATATATATATATATATATATATATACTTTAATATTGATATCAGTCTAAAAATAAATATTCAAAGAAATGTTGCATATAAGCTGATTCATAATTTTTCTATTGGTCGTAAACGCAGCAGC